TCCTGGAACCCAGTGACAGTGAGGGTTAAGACTGGGCTTGTTTAACCCCCAGAAACAGCTGACCTGAACAAGGGGGAGCTCTTGAGCCCCAGACTGATGCCTGAGAGGCCAGCATGGGACTGATCCAGACCCCCTGAATGTGGGTGTCAGTGAGGAGGCCTAGGCAATCTATGGGGCTTTGGGTAGTAGATCAGTATTTATCCCTGGCATACAAATGAACTTTGGGTGCCCATCCCACAATGAGGAATGCTCTCTCAGCTTGGACTCTTGGGGGAGTGTCTAGGCCCTGCCCTGGACGAAATGACAGACTCTGTATATCCCTCATGGAGGGCCTCACCCTCCTGGGGAATGGAGTCAGGATTGGGGGGAGGACCTGGGGGGCTGCTAAGAGGGCATGAGAGGAGGGGAGGGAGAGGGAGCTGGGATTGACAGGTGAAGCAACCTTGTTTCTAATTTAAATTTAAAAATTAAAAAAATGGACATCCCAAAGACAATGCAAGTCACCGTCTATCAAAATTTACTATGCTAGAAATTAAACCAGAGACATGTTTTCAATAGGCATTGAATTAATTTAAAACAATAATAAACCACTGGATTAATATAAGCAATGTGTTTTCATGAAAGATAATTAATGTCCAAAACCAAAACAAAAGTATGACTTCACATTCTACAAATCCCTCCACTGTCTTGCTGGAGAGAAGAGAGCTTGTGTTTCAATATTCAGTAGTTCACTTGGTCAAATATGCTTTAGACTACAGCATTAGACCCCATGAAACAATGCAATTTACAAAAGTACATAAAATCTTGACATTATTGTTGAACAGCTTAACCATGGAAAGGTCATGGGGTCCTAAACATGCCAAGCTTGGGGAAGTACCAGGCCCTACACCCTCACTTCCTTTTTTTTTTAATGGCTCACATAAGGACAGGGTGTTATAGAGAAGAATATTTATTCATATAAACATACCTCCCCAACACTTTTTTAATACTATTTTTATGAGGGCTTTAGAAGACATATGTTAAAGCTGCATAAATATAGTAGTCTGCAAATATTTATATGTCAAATAGTGCTCATAAACTGAATTTAATCTCACAGCTATTCCTAAAAGGGCAGTCTTTTATTTAAAACAAACAAACAAACAAACAAAAACAAAACAATGGCAACAAACCAACCTCACTGCCTAGGAATAAAAGAAGGAATTTGTGGATTTGTACAGATGATGGCAGAAAAATGATGGGCACACTAAGGATACTAACCACTGCCAGAACTAACTGGAGTCGGGGGTTGTGGAAGACCAGCTAGACCTTTCTAGTGAAATAAATGTCAGAATGAAGATGAATATTCCTTACATAGGTGCTGATACAAATTAGTAAAATGATGGGTCTGGAGAGATGGCTCAGTGGGTTAGAATGTGTGCTGCAGAAGGATGACAGCTCCCCAAACCTGTGTTGGCAGAGTTGCAGCCCTCCTGTGTATTGTGGAAGGAGTGAAGACGAGAGGATTGCAGGGCTTGCTGGCCATGAGTCTGGTTCCAGGTTCAGTGAGAGATACCGTCTCTAGGGAATAAGTCACAGAGTGGTAGGCCAGGACACCTGATGTCCTGCTCTGGCCTACACTGTACACATAATCCACACTCACACAGTCATACACACATAAAGAACAAAATGATAGCAACCTGTAATCACACCTGCAGCCCCAGCCACCAGAAAGCTAATCCGGAGGACTGCACATTTGAAATCTGCTTGGGATCAAATGCTTTTGTCACTGATCATGTGAGTAATGGAAAGACTGCATGAAAATAGATGGCTCTGCATGCACGCATGTATGTGTGCATGTGTGTGTGTGTGTGCATATACCTATATGGATATAGATTCATACTAGATGACAATGTGGTTCCATAGTATTATGACATAACATTTTTTTATGCTGTAAACACATTGATTCTAAGGAAAGACATTGTTTATTTTATAAAATCACAGCAACATTAGTGAGATGCACATGGCAAACATTTATTCTGCTTTCTCTGAAGAGATAACTTGCTGGTTTTGAGGTATACACCTCTCTATTGTATGATATTTCCAGTTCTTCAGGTCAGGTTGACTTATGCTCTAGCATCTGTCACTAATAAGATTTGCTAATAAGATTTGCAATATGAAAACATGTCACTGTGTCTTCTTGCGAAGGGGTCTGAGGTCTTGGGATTTGGTACTGTGCTCATTCGTGATGTGGTCAGGACAGGGTCTGGAGAACAAATACACCTTGAGCATGAATGTACACATGGACATAACTAAGCTCTAAATAAGATGACCATTCTCCAGTAGTGCTGTTAATGTTTTCATTGTATCTGGGTTAACATTGGACTCATGGGGCTGAAAGAGATGACTTAGGAGTTTAAAATCACTGACTGCTCTTGTGGAGGACCCAGATTTGGTTCCCAGAATTCCCATGGCAGCTCACAATTATCTGCAACTCCAGTCTCAGGGAATCCAATGCTCTTTCTGGCCTTACACGCACGAGACACGCACATGGTACACAGATGAAACACCTGTATCCATAGAATTAAAAGTAATAATAAAATTAAAAGTGAATTCACTTTCTTGTGAGGAAAAACAGTAGGAATGTATATATGCTATCAAGTGAGCATGCAGATGTTTTCTTCAGCTGTTGTAACTCTGGCCATTCAAATCTCTGTAGCTAATGATCATCTTTCTCTACTTTGATTTTAAAGCTTATGGTATGAAATAAACTCCTTGGTTCTAAGCAATTTTATTTCTAAACGTAAGACATTTTCAAATATTTTTCATCACATTGTCTTAAATAGGGTGCTATAGTTGTGAAGAGATACTATGACCACAGCAACTCTTATAAAGGAAAATGTTTAATTGGAGCTGGCTTACAGTTCACAGGTTTAGTACATTGTCATCATGGCAGGAAGCATGGTGGCATACAAGAAGACATGGTGCTGGAGAAGGAGCTTAGAGTACTACATACAGATCCTCAGGCAGCAGGAAGACAGAATGACACTGGGCCTGGCTTGAGCATCTGAAACCTCAAAGCCCTCCCCTCAGTGACACAATTCCTCCAACAAGACCACACCTCCTAATAGTGCCACCCCCTATGAGCCTATAGGGGCCATTATAATTCAGACACTACACACATTATTTTTAATAGCAGTTCTAAACTCACAATAATCAATTCTATAAAAACATAGAATGCCATCACTCCCTAATAAGAATACTGACCTTGGGACATTCTAGGATGCAAAAGGCTGCCTCAACTAAGAACCTCCTTTCCTGGAACTAGAATCAGGTTCTCACTGGCCTAGGCTAGTGTCTGACCACACCCAGTCAGTTCTTCTCCTTTGGAAACAATGAGTCATGGCCTTGGGCTGCATAGCGTGTTTTCAGGGGCTGTGCCAGTTTGTTTTGGAAACCCTGTGTGCTCCCTCATTCTCACCTCATTCTCACACTGTCTAATATCTGCGTGTACACTCAACAGATCCCACCTGTGCCTTTGTCGATTTACCACTAGCCAAAGACTAACTCTGGTTTGTTAAATTATTCTTTCCCTGTGTGTGTATGTGTGTGTGTGTGTGTGTGTGTGTGAATCTATATCTATATAGTATAGTATGTTTTTATCAATTCCCCCCTCGTCCTCTTTGCATTCCTGCTGAACCCTTCTTTCCAAGTCCCCCTGTACTTTCATATCTTGCTTAGCGTGTGTCCCCACTATGTTTAATTAGTTGTTTTCATGAGCATGGAGGCGGGCAGGTATTTGCCTGAGTAAGGGTCACTTAACAGTGACTACAACACTGGTGAATGTAACTCCCTATCCCATAGCAACAATTAACTGCTCCTCAGGTAGGAGTGGGGCCCATTTATGATAGAAGGAATGTTGATGGGCTCAAAATTGAACAGGTATTATGTGGTAAACACCAGTTTGGAGAGTTTGTGGATATGGTAGCCATGTCATGTTAAGCAGGCATTTCACAGCTCTCCTCCCCATCCTCCAACTCTTACACTCTTTCTACCCTTCATTGGTAAAGTTCCATAAGCCTTGGAGGGGGTAATGTAGATGTCCCATTTGGGAATAAGAGTTCTGTAGTCTCCCATTCTCAGCACTTTTGACCAGTTGGTGAGTCTTATCCACTGCAAACATAAACTTCTCTGACCAAGGCCGAGAAGGGCACTAACATATGAACATAAATATAAATATTTCAGAGTTTGACAGTGTGACCACTTATCAAAACATTGATAGTATGTTTCCCACTAAAGGATGGGAAGATTAGCCAATATTAAGGATAAATTAAAAACACTACAGAAACCCCTTATTTTGTAAGATAATTTAAAATTATGACTTAAGGTGAGATGACTGAATGGGTAAAGGCATTTGTTGCCAAGCCTGAGAACCCTGATTTTTCCTGGCACCCACATGGTGGAAGGAGACAGTAGTATCCTTCAGGTCCTCCTTCGCCCTCCACACTCACACCCTCACAACCCACAGAAACCAACCAACTCATCAGTCAAGCAATCGACTCATCAACCAATCAGTGTATATTAAAATAATGGCAAGATCTCATTCTAAAAATTATATTAATAAAGAATGCGAGTCTGAAAAAAATACCTTCCATGGGTAGATTTTGCTGCCTCCAGAAATCACAAGCTATTAAGTGAAAATACCAGACCAGGTGCTGAGTTCTTGATCAGGAAGGCTTCAGAGGTCCCCCAAAACAATTGTAGGCTACCTACCACAACTATTCTTGGTTACCTATCAGAACTTGATAAAGACTCTGTTACTGAACTTTCATTGCAGTGCATTAATAAACCAAGAAGAAAACTGATGTGTGAGCTTCCTCCTTGCTGTGTAGCTTTAACAGTGCTAGAGGGTGTTAGCAGGCCATTGGGTAGAAAGTCATCAAGCTCCTGATGTCACACCTTCTGCACCATGATGGACCGTATCCTGTCTGGCTGTAAGCCAAAACAAACTCTTCAGCTTTAAATGCTATTTGAGAGGTATTTTATTGCAGCAATGAGACAAGTAATTAATACACACCTTGAGTGGAAGTAGGGGGAGGTGGCTAGACTGTTGGGCTATGGATATAGAGTCACATGGTATTGAAACCCAAGGAGTCTTTGACTATAGGTGACTTGGTGCAGATGGTGGAAGACAGGGGTAGCAGAGAAAGGAGGAATGAAAGGTACATGGGCAAAAATAGAAAGTTGAAGTGTGTCACCCAGGGTAGGTGTCATGGTAGGTCAGGGTTTGGAAATTCTAGATCAGGAGACTGTATGTAGAGTGTCCATGTGGCAGGATAGGGCATCAGAGAAGAAGAAACTGGAAGGAGGATCAGAGCAGTAAGTGTCATCATCTCCTTGTATTTACCACTGTTTGTGGTGAAATAACACCTGTAGGAGGAGGCAGCTGGCATCTTCACACAAAGGTCTGAAAAGAAATATAACCAAATCACAAACTCATAAACTAACAGAGAAGTATTACTATCAAAATTGAAATTTCAAAATATAATTTTGTATGATGTGTATGTATGCTGTGTGTGTGTGTGTGTGTGTGTGTGTGTGTGTGTGTGTGTGTGTGTAAGAGGATAGATGCTAGCGCTGGTCCTCACCTCCAACCTGTTGGAGACAGGGTCTCTTCTGTTGTTGTTTGCACCTGTATACACCAGCTTAGTTTTAGTATTCCTTAGTTATAGTTATTAATTGATACAATACAAACCATGATGGATATGATTATAGCATTCACTATTGGCCACACACACACACACACACACACACACACACAGAGAGAGAGAGAGAGAGAGAGAGAGAGAGAGAGAGAGAGAGAGAGAGAGAGATTACCATTCTTGCTTGCACATATACCTGAATAGATACACATTGCAGCACACAGGTACACCACCTCTGAATAGTTATTTGCACACACATATGGAGTGTGATATGTATGGCATCTCAAATATTTTAGAGAGAAAAAGCCAAGCAGATGAATGCATGCATCATGTTATTAAGAAACTAGTATATCCAGTATGATTAACTAGTTTATTCAGTTACAATCATAAATCCGTTAATAAATTGTGTAACTTCTTTCCATTCAGTTCTCAAAAAGTGCTAAATAGAGTTCACTTATTGAAAGCTCATTCTGTTTCTTTCTGCTTATTCTGTTCAACATTTTCCCTCATCCTCTGTTACTGGCATTATCCATGATATATTATTTTTATAATCATTTTTATTTTCTATCATAGTACATCTCAAGTCAATTTCTAGCACTTTTAGAAAGAGATTTACAAAGCCCCAAGCTCTATACACCACACTAATGTAAAATCTATGTAATAATCCTTAGTAAAAGAAAATCCTTAGTAAACCTACAGTTTTAAATTCAAAATCAGAAATAAACATTTTCAGTGGGTCCTTCATGGAATATTTAAATCATGCCCACATTTTATTCACAAATTTTTATATATGCTAAGACAGAATAATTTTGACTAATTTTCCTGATTTTATGCTTTCTTAGATGGGAGCTCATGTGACTGAGACTGGCCTTGATATAAACATGTATCACCATGCCAAGGCTAATTTTTCAGATTTCTCTACTAGTCACCAATTTTGATGGAAATGACTGTGTTATTAGAATAATTGTGCATAGAGTGTGGGAATATACTAAATTTACATGTACATATATATGACCTGTAGAGTCAAAATGAAAGAACTCTCTAAGGGTTCATGTGTGGAGGCTTCTCCAAGAAGACAACAGTTATTGATGAAGATCACAGTGCAATCCGTGGGATAATTCTCTACTAGTTATTGGTCAGGAAGGTCCAGAGGTCTCAAAAATAACAGACCATTATCATTGCTTTTGGATGTACACCATAACAAGATGACAGGACCCTGTTGTCCAACACACTACACACTTGTTGGTAGAGAACATAAAAAAGAATTCAATCTCACACTCACCTGGCATCTTTCTTCTCGCTGCTGGCTAGCTTTCCTCGTTCCAGAAGATTCTATGTAGACCACTAAGGGAGAAAAGAGAACACTGTTATTACTAAGTGCTGGACCCTGGATACTACAATACCAACCTGCCAGGCAAGATATACCCACTGGTGCAATATGGTGTAAATGTTATGATGTAACCAACTGGTTTCTAGTTTAATTTGAGGCTGTTTCACAGAAAGGGGCCTGGTATATAATCTGAACAAAAGCCTATGGCTTGGTACATCATAGGCCCGGGGAGGGAGGAGACCTACTATTGCTATTCTGATAAATGGTATGTCAAATTTCCTGCTAAATACTTTGTTTATTCCCTAGATCTGAGCTGCTCTCAGCCTTGGTCAGAGAAGACTCCTTTGCAGTGGCCAAAGGGTACAACAGAGACACATAATTAGAAATAATGCTGAGAATAAGTGAATGAGTCCTCGTCACTAAAGAGACATCTTTATCAACCTTTCACCAAAACTCAGAGAACATGGTGGAAAAGGAGGTCGAAAGATTCTAAGAGCTGAAACAAGAAGGGCGCTATGTAAAATGGTTATCTTTTGTACAGGACATGGGTAGTGCAACCATGCACTCACATCAGCTATGGTTACCTGCATAAGACTTTCACAGAATCAAGCCAGTTAGAATTCCAGCAGGGACAAGGGTAGGGTAGAGTGGGATGGAGATCCAAAGACCCTACCACTAGCTGAAAAGACACTAACCATTTGGTAGTTGCTGGGGAAGGGAGAGTCATTTTCCTTTGGGGCTGTAGCCACTCATGGACCTCCAGCTGCTGTGAGCATGTATGTATAAAAAGATGAGACATTGGGCGGGGGATGTCCTGAGAGTTTCTAGGGGGACGTTGGAGGAGAGACATGAGACATGATTATAATGTACTGCATGCATCTGCAAAATTCTCAAAGAACAAATAAAAATATTAAAAGGGATTCTTATGTGAACGGAACATTTGCTATTCTTTGCTTCTTCTTCCAGAACTACATCACAACATGCAGAAAACAAGTGAAGTAACCTATGTAATTAACAGTATCATGGGTTCTAAAACAGTCTAATCCAAAAGAACTTTATACATTTTTATAAACATCTATTTTTAGATGAAATCAGAGACCTAAAAATCCATCCCCTACAAAGCAAGCAAAGGGACTTAAAATGAGAGCTGGAGAGATGGGCTCACCAACCCAATAGTGTCATTTGAAAGATTGCCATCAAGACCATATGAAACCAAGGAAATAAACAGAAAAGAAAATCTCTGACTGATTTCAAAATCCCAACAGACCCAAGTTGGCAGAGATGCCTATAAGGCATGGGCTGGAGACACGCTGTGGGCTGGGGTTTCTGAAACTTCAGAGTTTAGATGACCTCTGTAAATCCAAGACTGCCATTATACTGAAACTTCAAATTTGTATAGAATTTGTTACCCCCCAAACCCCTTTTTTACTCACAGTACACAAATGTGAGGACCAGATTTAGTAAATAAAAATATCACAGTTTTCCCCCTGAAATATGCCGGCCAGCATTTTTGTTATTTTCTTAATGTTTGGCCCGCATAGTGTCTCAACACAGTTTTAATTTGTGTGTTGGTGATGCCTGAGGGTGTTGAGCAGCTTTTCATGTATTTCCTGACCATTTGTTGGTGGTGGTCATCTTCTGGGGACTATCTGTTCAGTTTATTTGCCCATTTACTCATTGGATTGTTTGTTTGCGTGTTTAGTATCTTGGGTTCCTTATATGTTCTAGACATTAGCACTGTTTGTGAAGGAAAGAGAGCCTAAGGGGAGGGAAGCGGGACAGAAGAGGCTCGCCAGGTGAATGTGGTATGAATTAGAATATCACAAAGCAACTCACCACTCTTTCTGACTTTGCTTGTTCTTAGTGTGTCAATTTTCCAAGCAGGGTTTTTCTATGTAGCCTTTGCTAGTCTTAAACTCATGGCAATCCTCCTGCCTCAGCCCAACAAATGTTGGCATTATAGCCATGCAACACTGTGCCCATCACTTTATACAATGGGTATATGCTAATAAATTTTAAAAGACTCAGTTGAATGCTATTTTCAGGTTAACTATATATCATTCCCCCCAAGATACGATCCAAATTAGACTTAGCTACTACCTTCCAATAATCTAAAAGAAAAAATAGATGTTAAGTAAAACCGTAGCAATATAAGAACTGTCTAGATAAATATTTCCACAATAATATTTGGAACTTATGTTAAAATTTACTTACTGCTTACCATCTGAAATTCCAATTTAACTAGAAATCAGTAACTTTCTCCAATAGCTACTAACAAGTTATAAAACTGTTTCTTTGTGTAAGAAAGACTCTGAGAAACTCAGGGAATCAAGAGAATTATTATTCTAAAACTGGGAGGAAACTCTAAGTATATTAATACATTTTGAATAATGGACAGAGGTTTGGGCACACACTTGACTGACAGCTGAGTCTAGAACTCAGTTTGCTGAGGTCCAGGATCATAGCAAGGTTGAGAGCCCAGTGGTTCTCCTTTCCCCTGGGTCATCCTTGGCTTCTGACGATAGTCTTGTCCCCACTCTTGCTGCCAGAACCTCCAAGTAGGTGCTTTGTCCAGGCCAGCAGCAAGAAGCTGAGTCAGCTGGCTATCTAGACCTGTTTGCTGCTCCCACTCTCTCCCCACTGGGCCCACTGGGGTCACCTGATGGCCATTGTCAGCCCTTTGCCTCTCCCTCCTCTCCTCCCAAGCTGAAATACAGGTTTTCAGCAAGCCGGCTGTCTTCAAAGAAAGGTATGGGGTGTTGGTGTCCAGAAGCTGTCCCCATGGTTTCTCTTCAGCCATTTTACCACTTGGGACTCCAGCATTCAATGTATGGACATCTGCCCTCCAAAGCCTTCAAATGCATCAAGATGGACTTGAATTTAATTTCATAAAATGGGACTCACAGAACTCTCAATGCCCTGTTTTGGGCCCACAGGTTAAAAAGGTTGAGACACAAGCCAACATCATGTGCACATGTTGCCAAAACATGGAAGGGAGAGAGAAGCCCAGAACACTGCCAGAGATGGGTATATCTTTGAATATAACATAATCATTGCTAGAGATGAGGGAGAAGCTAAGGTTCTCGGACAGGCTCCAGGTTGCAGCTGAAATAAGGGGCAATGTATAAGAAACCAGAGACTATGGTACAGGCTGAATCTAAATAAATTGGCAGAAGGTCATACAATGTCAAGCACAAGAAGCAGGAAGTCACCTTTCCCTTTGCTGACTCCCCGAGGAGCCATCACCCTCTGTGCACAGATGTAGGATAAAGGCTTCCTGGAGCATCTGCCAGCGTCTGCTCTATGCATAGGCGCCCTCTCTGTCTATGCAGTAGGTAACCTCTTGGATTTGAGAGACTTTGTTCTTTTGGGAGGATTGAAACCAGGGCCTTGCGTATGTCTCTACCAGAGCACAGTTTTCACTTCTTAAAAAGTAACTAATTCACTAATTACATTTATTTTGAAATCACTGTGCTTATTTTATTGACTAATATTAAGTTCTGATTTTGAGACAGCATCTCATTAAGTTGCCCAGGTCGACTTTGAGCTCACACTGTAGTGTCTGTCACAGACCTGCACTGCACTGCTAGGTCCAGCTGAGGACTGTTATTCCCAAAGTACCTCAAAGGAGTGTGAGTAAAGAATACCCCAAGGTCTGTCCAGGGCAGGAGTTTGGATCCATGTCTCAAAAGCTATGTGCAAGCCACATGCTGGCCATGTGCGAGCCAGCTGTGCACTAGGAAGCCTGAAGCAGGAGGACCATGATTTCAAGGCCAGGGTGACCTACAGTGAGACCCTGGGTCAAAACATCAAAATAAAAGAAACAAAGAAAACCGAAAAGCAAAAACCAAACTCACCCACTCAATCCCCTCTTCTTTTAAGAAAGTACAAGAGATTTGCTATTTACTTCTCCCAGAATTGTCCCCTCTCTCTCTCTCTCTCTCTCTCTCTCTCTCTCTCTCTCTCTCTCTCTCTCTCTCTCTCTCTCTCTCTCCTCCCTCCCTCCCTCCCTCCCTCTCTCTCTCTCTCTCTCTCTCTCTCTTTCTCACTCTCTCTTCTGTTTTTTTTTTTTTGAGACAGGGGTTCTCTGTGTATCCCTGGCTTTCTTGGAACTCACTATGTAGACCAGGCTGGCCTTGAACTCACAGAGATCTGTCTGTCTCTGCCTCCTGAGCGCTGAAATAAGAGCTATGCGCCACCACTCCAGTTTCTTCAGAATTTTATTTTATTTTACTTATTTTTAATTTTTTTCAGAATTTTCTTAAAGAAGAAAAGATGGGTACAGAAGTGTTGGGGAAGTCCTTAAGTACTGTCTGGCCAATAGAAAACCTAGATAGGAGGGACTAGGAGTCCAGGAGGATTCTGGGAAGGAGAAAGACAAGAGAGTCAACATGTGACGCCATGGGGGTAGGACGCCGGGAACTATTCTCCGGTAAGAAACATACTTAGATTAACAATTATGGGGTAATTACTTAAGGCAGAGCTAGCCAGTAAGAGACAAACAAGGCCAACAGCTTCATAATTAATACAGCCTCCTGTGTGTTTATTTGGGTCTCATGCGGATCTAGAACCAGGCTGGCGCGGCAGAGCCCAGGCGACTGGCGGGGGATAAACCAAAGCGGCTAGCAAAGGAAAAAGCTTCTCTTAACACAGAAGTGAATGAATAAGTCTTGGAATTGCAGGACTGTAAGAAAATAAAATAAAATAAAATAAGTCCCAGCTTATGGTTGGTGAAGTGACCAGAGCCAGTCATTGAGGTGAGAGCCCATCAGTGATGTGGCTCTGCTCTTCCAAAGAGCAGTGATCCAGCCTCACTGCAACCTTGGCCAGAGGTCAAGTGCTATTCCCTTCCCTCCCCTTCCCTTCCCTTCCCTTCCCTCCCCTCCCTCCCCTTCCCTTTTCTGTGTTCCGTAGCCCATAGTAGGGTTTTTCTTTGAGCTACCAGCTCACAAATGACTATGCAGAGAAGTCTCATTACCTATGAAGCTTGGCCTTAGCTTAGGCTTGTCCACCAGCTCTTATAACTTAATTTAACCCATTTATATTCATCTACGTTTTGCCTTGT